AAGTTGGACTAAATTTCTAACCGACATGCACTGCTTCAAGTCAGCCGCCGTTCGGTTTGCGCGGCGCCGCATGAAGTCAAACGCACCTAATGACATCCCTCTACCGCACGCATTATGATAGACCTATAGAAAAAAATATTTGACTCTTTTTCATGACCAGCTAAGGACCATCTTAAACCAGCACATGACCAGCTTAAACCAGCTCATGTCCAGCTCAGGACCATCTTAAACCAGCACATGACCAGCTAAGGACCATCTTAAACCAGCACATGACCAGCTTAATCCAGCTCATGACCATCTTAAACCAGCACATGACCAGCTAAGGACCATCTTAATCCAGCTCATGACCAGCTCAGGACCATCTTAAACCAGCAGCCATGCTTCAAAACATACCTAACCAGCATATGCTGTTTTTTTCAACAGGGGTAGCCAATCAATGAATGCAGGATGAATGGTGGATGATGTTGCCACTTAAAAAAATTTAAATAAATAAATAAATTCTAATTTTATTTAATCCATGCTTAAAAAATGTAATTAAATGTAAACAATAAATAACTGATAAATAGTTTTTAAATACAGTTTACACATGTGCAAGCAATAAACTTTGTTTTTGACAATATAATAATGCCTAATGGCGTAACATGGATGAGGACATTAGTTTGGCGCTGAAACTCACCCTCTGGGTCCAGCAGTCGGGCCACACCAAGCTGCTCGGCCACACCAAACGCTTGCTCTAGGTTGGATCTGCTACTTTGTGTTGATACTCTGCTCATATCGACCAGGTCGGGCCTGAATTAAGACAGAACCGTGACAATACAATCTTATTCCACAGTCTCTGCATGTCTGATATCTTTCAGTGTCAGATATGTTTTTATATTACACACCACGATCTTGCTTTAATCAAAAAGTATTTGATTGATGGTGACAGACATTTTCATTTACTCAAACTGAGTCTGGAGTAACACTGGGTTTGTGTAAATCGCCAGAGGAAATCAATGTCAGGACTGAGTCAAAGACTTGTACGCACATAATCAAGGGACATCATTCACATAAAGAGCATATAAGGAACAATTACATTTAGCATTGAGAAAATGAAATCTACTTTAGGACAGCTATCCTACCAGCCCCAAAAACAGGCTTTGTTTTCTTTAGGAAAAATATGATTTCTTTCTGGGGTGAAATACTGTATGAGCCAGGCATGTTCTTGACAAGGTTTGTGAGATTCACTCATAAGGATCATTATTAACTCATTACTAAACCCCCGACTGACAGGAATAGTCACGTCTAGAAATATCTTTGCACAAAAAAGTAACTATTTAGAATCGAGGTCATCTGAAAACTGTCTGTTAGGAAAAACGACATTTCATCAAACTATAAAGAGCAGGTTATGACTATAATAGCACAACAGATCATTCTAAGAACAGCGATGAGAAATAAAGCTATATGTGCATGTACAGTAAAGCTCTGAAACATCGCTCGTAACTTCCATGATGTAACTATTTATTTCAGAGTGAAACAGGATTTTAAAGAAATTAGGGAAAGACTTCGTTTTCTCCATCTGTAATTGACTGGATGGTGAAAAGTACCTATTGACATTTGTCACTGCATGTACTTTCTCAAATCAGATATACAGTTATAGCTATAACACTCACTTGCACCTTTATTTCTTTAACATTTTGTGAACAGTAAAACCCCATGCATTTACACTGGTACAGTTGCGTCTGGAATCTCCTGAAGGCGTTTGAGATGCACCGGATTGCAATCTGTCTTTCTGCGATCTGATAGCTATCCGATCAGTGAAAATGCATGAAGTGGTCCTACATGAAGTGTAAGTAGGCCCTATATGACAGGTGATTAAAGGGGAGGGCTAGAAATTCAAAACATAAATTAAGTTTTTACATTTTCTATGAAAGATTTGTATTTCCTTGAAATAGCGTGAACTGATGAACCGTGGACAGTAAAACAAGGAATGTGGTCAATTTTGACATAATGTTGTCTTTACTGGCTGTGAAGACAGTAGACAGCAAGACAACTCACTAAATTTTTACACAGAGCCTACAAAAAAAAAAAAAAACTCCTGAAAATGCAGTCACTACTTACATGCCCTTTAACACACGAAACCATGATAAAAACATGCATGCATTTGGACATGGATATTTTTTTTAGAAATGAACATTGCTGAGTTGTTACCTGTACTTATGTATTATAGCATTAAACAGTCGTCCATCCCTCCACGAGGTAGTGAAGTTGCCACAGCGGACGCCTACATAGCCTTCGGTCATCTGCTGGGACCACAGCAGAAGTCTCTCCTTGGCTGTCATGTCCTCGGACTCTCCTGTCACGTGGATGTCCGAGATCTGCAGGCAGGAAAGAAGACATGTTTTTGTTAAGAACATGTGTTATAACATACAGTAGCTAAGAGTCTTCTTTTCAAACCTTGTCTTATTTAAAACTGTGTAAAGAAATGGTCATTTTGTAACACAATTTTTTTATTGATTTAAAAAGAAACGTTATGTAGCAGAATCACACCTTTTCTTGAAATTAGAGAATTGCACCTTTTTTTTTAAATGAATGTAGTTTTTGTCAATTTTGTACATTCAAATCTGTTCTGTAAATAATCTGACAAACACTTCAAGAGCTTAGAATTAAAAATGAATAAAAATACATACATCATGTACATACAGAAAATGCATTAACTGTTTATATTAATAATTTCACCTCTATGTAAATACATGTGAAGATTGCAAGAATGTCATTTAAAAAAGAGATCATCACAGCAGTAATATAAAGACTTTCTGCGCCCCAGTATAGCAGGTAGCAGATATATATTTGCATCCTGTGTAGTAACAAATGCTGTCTATAGTATAATAACATTGTGTATAAATATTATATGCTATAGTATTTATAATACTGCACATTTTGGATGTCTTCCTTATCTGCCACACCCACTGCAGGTCAAAAAGACTATTTAAGTGCAAGTATTTACACCTTGGTGCCAATAGCCCCTCCATAATAAAAATGTGATCACTTGTGAGCAAGCACTGCACAAAAATGCTCTATACTATGCAATGCATTTCCCCACACATAGATACTGTTAAATTACAGCCAAAGGAATCATTGTCTGACTTCCTAATCTAATATTGGCAAATATCTGTATTTTGGCCTTTTCCAAATGTCTGTTTTCTGCTGTTTCAGCAATGAAGCTCAGCTGGTGCACATAGAAAGGCTGATTCATGTGACATTTGATCAGTGATTTACCAGCACAGGTTGATTGCTCTGTTTCTTCATTTAGAGCTATTTATAGTAGCCTCCATGTATGCAATAAACCATATTAAATGTATTTTGAATATAGCAGTGAAATATGCTGATGGTGACTAATGAACAGTGACCGATCACACACACACACACACACACACACACACACACACACACGTGTCCACTGACTACTAGAGATCTCACATGACTTCACACTGCTAAAAAGGATTTGTAGCTCTAAAATCAAATGCCTGGAGCAAAAGCTAAGCCAGCACCTACTGATTTAAGAAAACATATTATACCACCACTTATTAAAATCAACAGCTTAATAATCATTCACAGCTTGCTAAGTGTACAATAGATGTACGTGCTGACATTCAAGTCAACTCAAAAAAGAGTCTGCCGGCCGATGTAATTATAGCTTGTCAGAAGGCCGCAGAGCACATGATGTGTAGACTGTGAGTGTGGAAAAGAGTGAGCTATGAAACCAAGAACCAAACACACCAAAACATGTTAGCCCTGACTAACCGCTGCCATGACTCTCAAGATGAATGACAACATTACGGAAACTCTTGGAGTTTCTAGATGCTGATGGGTCAATATAGCTCAAATAAAGAATACAGTCACAGCTATGACACAAAGTACCTGTTACTAGTTACATCACAAGGCAACATAGAAGTCAAATATGACCCTTAGTATCTTCTAGTGGAAAGACCGACTAAATTAATTTGCATGTGTCTCAAACAGTAGAGAGTAGGGTTGTGCCGATGGATGATAGCATTGTGTATCGACGATAGTCAGAGATGTTGCCTAGGGCTGATGCCACTGAGAATAGCAAGACGATTATTGTTATTATTATTATTATTATTATCAGGCTAGTAATACTATCTAATTTATAATTAGGGATTATTTGGTCCATCATATTTCTTTTTCCGCGTTTTTACAGTGTTGCGCATTATAACCCATCACACACGATTCCAATGAGTTTATGAACACAATGTCCAATCAGATGCGTTCAGATGAGTCATAGCTGAAACACCTGAGTTTAGTTGTTCATTGCACACTCGCTGACTGAATTTAGCTCTCTCATCATAACAAAGTGCAGATGTATGTGCGATGTATAATATTTATGAATCATTGTACAGTGTGGATAGCTTCACTGATTATAACGGGAGTGTTTTTAAAGTGCATAATCTCGCACTAGACTGAAGTCTATGTGATGAAGTGATGTTTTTTGGCAATGTAAATGTTCTTTGCTCGTTTTCTGTAGCTGCTGTCTGAATAACTGAGGAAATGTAAGCATTATAATTAGTAACTTACAATGTTTCTATTAAATTGTTATCATGTTAAATACAAATTCAGTCATATTAAAAAACATTCGGCTGCTTTTAGCCTTATGCTGGAGTTGGTTCACTTTCCGGCAATGAAACTAAGCAAGTAAATAATTAAATAAATTAGCACGATAATATCATGTATCGCGATCTCACAGGCTGACGATAGGACGATATGAAAATTGAGCATATCGCCCAACACTAGTAGAGAGCATGGCACTAATAGTGTCACGGGCCCTGATTCCCAAGGAATGCAATAACTGATCAATGCATGCAGTCACTTGGGATAAAAGAGTCTACCAAATGCATAAAAGTAAAATTAATTATAGTTGGCCTAAATATTTCTATTACGTAGTAACTATTTTATAAAAACAACAAGGCAATCAAGGCTGTTGTATTGCTATATTCACATAATGTCAGAATTACTATAAATACAATTATTCAGTCCTTGTAGAACTCAAAATAACAACTTGTAAACTGACTTTTCGGAGAGCCCCGACTTGCACAGCCTGACCACTACAAAGTCGCGGGTTGTCATCTAGCAATTATGGCAATTACAACATGGAGTAAACCCAGCGTGTATCATGAGTAAAGGGTGTATGATGTTTAGCAGACATTATTTCTTAAGTAATGTCACACAAATTGTAGCGTTGCACCATAAGTGGCATCTCACATGTTGACAGATGCTGCTATTACCTCCTGGTGCTCAGTAGAAGCATGTTTAAGATCTTGTTGGACTGTATCCAAAGTAGCCTGGGAAACTAAACCTCCCGAGCAAGTGTGGGCCCTCCTCCGCTTCCTGTGCACTTGAGTGTCCCATATAATTTTGGAGAAGCCTTCCATGTTTTCCAACTGATGATCCACACTGCTCCTCGAGGAGCTTTGTCCTCTCAGTGTCTGGAGCATATGTTCCACCGCTCCAAAACTCACCACCCTCCTCAACTGCCTCCGCAAGAGTTTCTTTTCCAAGAGCCCGTCCTTTGAGGCGATGCTTCTGGAGCTCTTGGTGACCCCATGTAAATTATGCTCCACAGTAGGCCTGCTTTTGTCCTTATCCATCTGATGAACACCTGGTCTTCTGCCTGTTTTACCTCGGGGAACTGGGACTTCTCCAACATAGACCCCATGGCTGATACTGGGCTGCCTGGGCCTTGGAATCCCATCTTGCTCCGAGTTCAACGTACCAACCTGACTGAAGGAATTACTACCAGATGTGACATCCTCCAGGTCATCACTCCTACAGCCCTCGACTCCATGGCTTCTCAAAGAGTCAGTAGCACTGAACTCTGCAGATTTTCTCTTCTTCCTCCTTTGAAAGTATCGGCGTCCACTGAGCTCCTTTGGTGCAGGGCTGATTGGGGCTTTCGTGGGATCAACATAACACTCCTCTTTAGAGCCCCGCACACATCCACACATATTACCCATTGCGCTTGCTCATACTAACAAGGCTGCCCATCAAGAAAGTTTCACTTTTTCCTGTCAGCTGTAAACAAGTTCAGCAAGTTCAAGAGTTTCTTATCCCAGGAAATAACAGCCATCTTTTCCCCTGCAAGTGTTTCGGTGACGGAGGTGATGTCAGACGAATAGTCCCAATATCCAAAGTGGAGCAGATGATATGAATCCCTCTGAGACTCCAAACAAACTTCTGCTTCCTGTATTGCACCGGCCTCGCTTCACAGCCCGGCCCTTTCTTCTCATGCTGCCAACACACTGAAATCTGTGACCTGTGAAACGGCACCCTTTGCCCTGATCTTCCAGAACAAACACTATAGAGATCGAGGCGCCCGGCAAGCAACAGAAACGAACACTGCTGTCACAGCTGAGGAAACGTCACAGTCCTCATGTGATGTGTAAACACAGCCACCCCCGGAGCCCTGCTGGTGTTGAGTTTCCCCAGGCTGACTCCGGATCTATGTCCTTAGCGGTCTGAGGCTGGAGAGAGAGAGAGAGAGAGAGAGGGAAAAGGGAGGGGAGCAGGAAAGACTCTCATTCGTTCCCTGATGGTAACTGTGTGCCGCGTGTGAGAGCTCTGCTCAGCAAGTTGAGCCATTCGATTAGGACGTACCAGGCTGAGAGAGAGTCATGGCCTGTCATGTGGCCTTTAAAAATAGCAGGACAACGTGGCTGGCTCTGCGGCATGGTAAACTGTGCTGCGCCAGATGGCAAAGCTCTCTGTTTGCTCTTTAATATGGCTCGAAACAAGAGCAAAGCTTCCAAAAGGATCACGTCCAGCACGTAAAACAAACAAACATAACCAGTGGTCATAGATATGGAAGATAATAATTATTATTGGCTACATAAACTCATTTGGAGCCATAGTTGTAAAATATAATTAGCTTATACAGCAAGTTATTGTCCAAACATTCATTTAAAGTTAATTAATAGTGTTTGCATAGGCAACAATTACTAATTAGGCTAATTTGTTTTAGGGATCTCACACAAGGGGCCAGACTTACTAACAGCTTGTTCCAGTGCAAACCATCTTTTGGCATTAAAAACTACTATCAGGATTTACTGACGACACACTGAAGACATGAAAAGGCGTGGACTGTTATTTCTGCTGCATATGCATTTGTAGGTGTTTCCCTTTCAGATGCAAAAATGAATGGGAGGAGAGTATTTCAATGAATCATGCAGAGGTTTGCAGTAGTCAGTTTACTGGTATTTGCACCATCATTTACCACCCCCAAAAAAGAATGTCTTAAGCCATTTTGCATCTATGTTGTTAGCAGTTTACCCACACATTATCATCGGTTCTGCTTGTGTGCGACCTTGCACTAATTTGTGCTGCTCTTGGTAGATTGCATCTTTAAGGAAATGCTCTGTCTGTGTCTGTGTTCTTTAATGTGCTCATTGTCAGTAGATCAACTGCAGAATCTGTGCTTTTATGAGATTGTGCTCTCTCACTAATTTGCCCTGTTTCGTAAATCTGGCCCAATATGTGCTAATCTTACCACTATAATATCACAGAGACTTCAGCATGGATCCCTTAGAAGCTATCTAGAAAATTCTAGAAACCACACAGGAACATACCGAGACTGCTTAAATCTTATCAATAAGGGTGTAGCGGTACACAAAACAGGAAAACAGGGTCAAATGCATTTTAGGCAGCACACACATCTGTGTGGCAAGCCATTAAGCTGTATGCTGTATAAGTGCTTACTGTAAAGTACTTTTCCCATTAACTTTCATTTGCATTTCATCAAAGTATGTTGATATTTGCACAGTTCTGCATGTGCAGTGGTTAAAACAATGCTGCGTTCGTTCAGTGTACCCAGCCCCACTGACAGTAAGAAGTGCTTCCAACAAAGCAAATGACAAAAAAAAAGGCATCTGAGCATGTAAGTATCACATCTGCTGTGGGTTGGATCTTGTTTTGGCATAAGCTCTGTCACTTTCCCTTTATGGCTGCAGACTCTTCTCAAACTCTTTTCAGGTTGTTCGTTTTGACAGTGGGTGATTCCCCAGAAGTCAGCAAGGGCTGCTGTTTAAAACTGACCTAGTTAAACGGCAACTAGCTGACTAGTTCAAATTCGATGCAACAACACTATTTATTGTATTCCCATGCTACTGCACAACCACTCCTTAGCATACACATACGACATGCTAGCCAGGCCTTCTTCTGTGTGGACATGATGGAAACACAAACAAATGAACACTTCCCATAACACCCAATGTACTTGCTACATCGTTAGAAGAATGGCATCTACGCTAATATTAGTCTGGTTCTCTCTTATTCCGAGGTCACCGTAGCCACCAGATCCAGTCTGTATCCAGATCAGATGGTCACTGCAGTCACCCGGATCCAGTCCGTATCCAGTCCAGATGGTGGATCAGCACCTAGAGAGGACTTCTACAGCCCTGAATGTCAGCGGAGATCAGGACAACTAGATGAGCCCCATAGACAGATCCCCAGTGAAGAACTTGTCTCTTAGACGGCCACCGGAACCAGTTGAGTCCTCTGCACAATCTGACTTTGCTGCAGCCTGGAATTTAACCGCTGGTTTCGTCTGGTCAGAGGAGAACTGGCCCCCCGACTGAGCCTGGTTTCTCCCAAGGTTTTGGTTCCTTGCCGCTGTCGCCTCTGGCTTGCTTAGTTGGGGACACTTCATTTCCAGCGATATCGTCGACTTGATTGCACAGACACTACTTAAACTGAACTGAGCTGGATGATGGCATCACTGAATTCAGTGATGAACTGAGTTTAACTGAAAATTGAGTGTTTACTATTGTCCTTTTGCATTATTGATACACTATTTTCCTATTTAATACTGTAAAGTTGCTTTGACACAATCTGTATTGTTAAAAGCGCTATATAAATAAAGGTGACTTGACTTGACTTTGCCTGGAATTTCCCGCCAAATCTGACCCGACAATACAAAATTTAAATAAATATTTCAGGCTTTTTATTTCTTTTTTTTTTATACTAGCTCAGCAACACAATTTTGTTCATTTTTGCCCCCCAAAAAATATTCCGTAGTGCACTTTTTTAAAAACATTAAATAAAAAAAGAAGAGATCAAACATCACATTGTTGCATATTATCGCTGGAGGCGATGTTAATACACCCTTAACACACCCCTCAACTTCAAAGCATGCTTATAAAGCAAAAAAGACAAGCAAACTACTAAAACAACATAATGGCTAATGCCAGCTTGATTCAGAGTCAAATGTCTTTGATCACATGTTCAAACAGACAGTATTCAGATGGCAGCTGTGGATATTGTATTAATGAATAAATGCATTCTCCAAAATCTTTGATTACATTAGTCGTTGACTAAAGAGATGCAAACAATAGATGTAATTTTACTGCGAAATGCGATACTTTGTTTGTTGGAAACAGATTGAAAACTGGATACTTCCAAAGAAGAGACTGGAGGGCTAAAAATATATGAACGCGGTTCAAAAATCATCCCCGTGAGACTAATGTCTAGGCAGAGCAATCAAAAACAACTCTATGTGCCCTCTAACTGTGGATCATGAGGGAACAGGCCCACTAGCACCGCATGCCCAACGGCTCGCGTGAGAGTGACAGCGGCAGGTGCTCCTGCACGGCCCCACTGTACCTGTCAGCAAGTTTTATGAAGCCAAGCATTATTTAACACATTCTTCGGCTGTGCCTCAGATATCGTTTTTTAAGTTGTTTTGTAAGCCTTCAGCCCATTGTGGGCCGTCAGGGAGGCTGGGTCAGCGTGGTTTGCGAGATCGAAGTGCGGTGAAGCTGAATTCATAGAGAAGTGAATCAGGAAGAGCTGTGACGGTCTGGACTCGGGTTGACTTCTGCAACAGGCTACTGCTAAAATGTTTCAATCATAACATCACCTCAAACCAAACAAGCAGCCGAGCCAAGGATATTAATATCCTACTGCAGTGCAGTGTGTCCGAAATCAGTAGAACTCTCCAAGGGAATACTTGAACTGGATGCATTTTACACATTTGAAGTTAAGAAAATGTGATATTAAAAAGCTGTGAGATATAATGGGCAAAGACCTCAATCTGATGCATGTGTGCAGACTCTCAATTACAAAGCAGCAGGAACGTAGGACTGCACTCCTCTCCACCTCAGTCATACTGTATATTTGATGCTCAGACCTGCAAATGCGCAGGAAAACTGCCAGAATGTTTTTAAAAAGCCTGTCGCAAACTTAAACTGCAAAAAAAAAAAAAAATTATCTGCAATTTTCATCTTTTGCTCCGGATGATTCGTCTAGCATATCAACACTTTTTTTTTTTTTTTTTTTGCAATAAAAGCTCTTTCATTGTGAAAAGCGTGGATTTTTTCCCCCCATTATTAGGAAGCATACAAAATCTGAATAATTGAGTAAAACCTACAAGACAGATCTTGTGTGTGTAATAACACAAATATTTTCCATGTTTAGCTACTACATGTTGATGCTAAAATAATTACCTTAATAAATCAATCTCAAAATGTAGTTAGATTCTGGCACATCACAGAGTTTCATTAAAAAAGGGAAATTTTCCTGCATGAAGGCACATTACAGAAAATTAATAAACACTGAAGCGGGGGGTGAGTATGTGAGTGAACATGCTCTGCAGACTGACAGCTACAGCTCACCACACTCCACCTACAACTAAACAATCCTCATACTAGAACAGGAAAATGAAGACAAACTCTGAATGCTGGCTTGAGGAAGCCTTGAAACCTGAAGTTTATTTATGGACTATTCATAGTTTTATTTATGGACTATATTAGTTATATTAGAGTTATATTTATAGTTTTAACATTATGTGGTTTTAATTGATGGTTGCTAAGGTGTTTTGGCTCGTTTCTAAGGCATTATTAGCAATAGGTACTGTATTGTCTCAAGCTCTTTTCAATAAATATCTGCACACCCTTGAGCTAATGAGGGTTTGCACATACATGTATGACCTCTTGTGGTCAGAGAATGAACTGCAGTATTGACATATGACCACTGTTGCACATTGTGAGGAATAAGCAGTTGGAAATAGCTACATCAAGCATCAAAGCCAATAAATAAACAATAAAAATATGCTATGAGACTTGATTGGCTCACCTGAAAGTGCAGAATTATGGTCCATATTAATCCCAAAGTCAGTTTTGGGTTTCCGTCCGTTATGTCGTCATTCCTGATGTTCACCAGCTTCACCTGAGAACACAAGTGTTATACGGTTATGATGAGTGAGATGATAACACAATCATACAGCGCTCTGCAATGTTTCCATAAAGACATAAAAAATGACTGCTTATATAATGACATTTTTTAGCTTTAATTATGTATTTCTTTTATATTGTTGTATGTATATACACAAAGAATCATACAAAACCGTATGTAATGAAATTTCGATAACGTCTCCAATGCCAAAACACATTAATATTACAACAAGCAAGGCTATTGTTTTGGTTTCAATTGCATGGCTATTTATATCTGATTCAGTTACTTCATTCATTCATTCTAATTCATTTGTAAATGAGATGAGAAATAAGTATTTGAAGGCAGATAATACAGCACACGCAAGAGTGTATTTATACTTTATACTTAATATACTATGTTTTAATATTGTTTATACACACATATATAGATACATATACTGTATATATACAGGTGCATCTCAATAAATTAGAATTTGAGTTGATTAGCTGATTGGCATGTCACCATATTCTAATTTGTTGAGATAGTGAATTGGTGGGTTTTTGTTAAATGTGAGCCAAAATCATCACAATTAAAAGAACCAAAGACTTAAACTACTTCAGTCTGTGTGCATTGAATTGATTTAATACACGAGTTTCACAATTTAATTTGAATTACTGAAAAAAATGTCTAATTTATTCTAATTTGTCTAATAAATCTAATTTATTGAGATGCACCTGTATATGCAGGTGTCACGAATCCGGTCTATGAACTTCCGTTCATTCACCACCAGAGGTCACCCGCTCACTACATGGACTCTCACACTACACAGACTGTTACACTATACCCTGGACTACATTTCCCATCATCCAAAGCACTGATTGCACACAGCTGTAACCAATCACACGCTCACCTGAAAGCTATTACACACACTATATAACATCCAACCAGATCCTGCTCAAGTCACCGAGTATTGTCTGCATTTATCGCTCTCCAAGTGATAGCACTTTACGGAGCCATTTCCCTGTCTTAGTTTCTAGTTCCTAGTCTCAGTTCCTAGTTCTAGTCTTAGTCTAGTCTCGTTGTGTTTCCTGAATTCTGATTCTTACCCGCGTATCTTGGATTTACCCTTTGCCTTGCTGTTTTGGACTGTGTTTGCCCCTCGCCTGGACTATTGCTCACGTTTACGGATTACCTCTCTTGTCAAGCCCTCTGGATAACATTCGCTGTCATCTGACTCAAGCCCGTTTTGGATTGCTCTTTTGTCTTGCCTGTGCCATACCTGTTTGCTGTTGTTCGACCCTGCCTGTGTTTTTTGACCATGTTTATTAATAAAAGTTTGCATATGGATCCGCACGCCTCTTGTCTCGTCGGCTCCGTTACAACAGGTGCATCTCAAAAAAATAGAATATCGTGAAAAATTCATTTGTTTTGTAACTTATTTCAAAAAGTAAAACTTTCATATATTCTAGATTCATTACATGTAAAGACATTTCAAAACATGTTTTGTTTTAATTTTGATGATTAGAGCTTGCAGCTCATGAAAGTAAAAAATCCAGTATCTCAAAATATTAGAATATTTCCTAAGATCAATAAAAAAAAAGGATTTGCAAAACAGAAAAGTTCAAGTTCTTTAAAGTATGTTCATTTATGCACTCAATACTTGGGGTGCATCCCTACTATATATATATATATATATATATACACACAGTATATATAAACAACATTGTGAAGAGCACTGCACAAATAAACTAGAACTGAACTGAAAAAAAAATACTTTACATAAAAGTGCATGATGGCAAAAAGTCATTTATAAGGCTGCTATTAGAAATGCATTTGTTTTCCAAAGCTAATCTATGCAGCAATCTACTTCTAGCCTATAAACAATTCTAATAACAAACACTGTGCTGCTTACAGCAGTGATGTATCATAGTCAGCGTCTCACCACAAGAGGGCACTAGAGGACAGGATGTTTATTTAGGGCATAGAGACTAACTGCTTACCTAAGAAATGAACAGCTCCATTTATAATTTCCGATTGAAACAGCCATGTTTGAAGCTGCTGTGACCTTTCTATAACAATGTGTCAAGTTTCTACGCTGCTTGGCAATGCTACACAGACTGCAGGCATGTTACCTATGATCTGGTGAATTGCTGATTCCAATTTAAATTATTAATAATTGCAATCTTTTTTGAACACTGGTGTCTGTAATCGTACCGAGTTTGCCATTATTTTGAGTCATACAAAAGATCAGCTCCTTACCATGATAAAATCACTGTTACACACAGACTAGCTTATTATGTAAATATTTATAGATTTTAATGCTAATAATCAAAATTATAATAAACAAAGCATGTGGGTTATGTGAAGTTTATCATAATTCATCTTCAGTGATGACTATTTCTCAGCTTGCCAACAAACTGAAACCATGTTTATTCTTGGATAAGGCATTTAAACGTATAGTCTATTTAAGCAAGTACAAATGAGAGGTCATGCACTGGGTCATTTGTGAATTCAGAGGTCAACGTTTGCTTCCTCATGTATCACGTATCATCTTGAGCAGAACTGCTTGCATTTGTCTTTTTACAGATAGCCAGATCAGATGTCCCTCCCCCCCATTGAAATGAATGGTTAACTATAGTACCCAGGATTAACCAACTAAACCCTGCCTTCAACATACCAGATGCACTGTATCAATTTTCATTGGTCGAGAAAAATAACATTGTTTCTGGCCATTTTGTGAATGGAATACAAGTTACCCTATATTCACTTCCTTAAAAGTTCACTAGAAGTGTGCAATGCATCGTTTATCAAAAAATACTACAATATTATAATTCAAATAATATTCAAACAGCAGATCAAACAATATTAGATCCCTAAGGAATCTTTTGTCTACGTCACAGCAGAGCACAACATGAGTGGAATTTACAATCATTTAGTTGAACCAAATTAAATTTGAGCTGATCTCTATGAGAACTAGTCAGTATTGTTTTGAATTGCAAATGTAACTTACAGTAGCATTACCGTGTTTAGGCACCATGCAAACCACGTAATTGTGAGGTTTCTACCGAGGGGGCCCCTCAAGGGACTGCTTGCTTAGGGCCCCAAAACTCTAAACACGCCCCTGACTGCAAATTATTTTGATATTAAAATGTTCTACCTGCATTCTGTATTTCTGTAATAAGTGCTATTTTTCTTCAGCTGTACTTCTTTTCTTCACAAGAGTTGATTTAGAAATCAAACAGAACAGAAACTGATGTAATGTCAAATGTTTTGAGATTTAAATGCTCATATGTGACCCTGGAGCACAAAAGCAGTCTTAAGTCGCTGGGGTATATTTGTAGCAATAGCCAAAAATACATTGTATGGGTCAAAATAATCGATTTTTCTTTTATGCCAAAAATCATTAGGATATTAAGTAAAGATCATGTTCCGTGAAGATATTTTGTAAATTTCCTACTGTAAATATATCAAAACTTAATTTAAGATTAGTAATATGCATTGCTAAGAACTTAATTTGGACAACTTTAAGGCGATTTTCTCAATATTTAGATTTTTTTGCTCCCTCAGATTCCAGATTTACAAATAGCTGTATCTCGCCCAATTATTGTCATATCCTAACAAACCATACATCAATGGAAAGCTTATAGAAAAATTGACCTTTTTGACTGGTTTTGTGGTCACATATACTGGTTTAAAAACTGGAATAGGAGCATAAAAAAATAAAATCACTCTGTATTTGTTGATTGTTTTTCTCACTGGTCTTACCTGCCGTCTTTTTAAGTAGTCCAGTGCAATCTGTACATTCTGGAGTCTGTGGAAGCGCATGCGGCCCTTCTCCCGTGGCTGTGAGGAGAGGAGAGAGAGAAGACATCAGTGCATGCGTCATCAGGCACCAGACACTCACCGTACCGTCAGCAGAGGAGGAGAAACTCACTGCGCTCATGCCTGGAGATCTCAACTACTGCACATCAATGCCTAGCTAGCCTGACTGAAGTACATCAGGTTTCTTGCTAACTTCCCACAGGTTAACCCTATATCATATGATGCCTTGAAGGAACACAAGCCAAACGCAAGTTCAAAGATATGGAGTGGGCCGAGACGGGCAGCAGTGAAACGGGAATAAAGCAGATGGAAAGATCTGTAAATCTCCACTGTCCAGCTCGGATGGAGTTTGTGGATGAACTTTTTCTCAAAGGTGCCTGTCAAACTTGATGTACAGTACAGTGTGGGCAGACTTAAAGAGAAATGAGAACGATTGAGCAGATGATGGATGGCTTGTGAAGAATCGTGTCGCCCTTTAAGGCTGGAAGTAAAGGACTGACGTGAGTTCCATGTGTTTTGTTCACAGAATAGTAAAAATGACCAAATGTTCTATCAATCAAAAACAAAAGAGGTTTCTATCACACGAAATAGCACTTTTCATGAAAGACAAGTATGTGTAAACTTGTCAATTCATGACGGACATTAAAAGACCCCATGAAATGCTTCGACGGATACAGCAAAAACGTATTAATATAAATAAAAAGTCATCATACAAAACAAGCAATAGAGCGCTGCAGTGATGACTGATGGCTTTTAGATTATTGCAGAAAAATTTTTATGATTCTTACAGGTTTTGTTCATCATGATAATCTTCACAAATGAACACAACTAGAACTAACACTAAAAGCTGTACACAAACTACACCACAGTCACATGACTTCAGTCTTAAGCATTCAACCATTAGGCTGCCAACAACTCTTTCAGTCTTTATTTAAAAAGATAAAAAATCAATGAAATTATGATTTAGAATAGTTTGCAAGAGGAACAAACTCTGTAGTCCCATTTAGCCACTTGTTAGCAACCACATTTTTCAAGACAAATAAAATCATTAACAAATCACAACGGGGTATTACTGATGTGTTTTATGTTGTAGAATACATCAATAAATCATTTCAAACATTTACTCAAAACTCATTCAAAAATAAAGCCCTTTAACTTCAGGCCAATGGAACCAGAGGTGCTTAAATGCTCATTTGTTTCCAGGTTTTGGCCTACAAGAATATGTCATCCATGCAGCACACTATAGGACAGATAAATAACACAAAAACATATGACACATCTCTTCCATCTTTATTTGACCCTCTAACTCTAGCGCTCTCTATTCTAATTATATTCTTTAAAAAAACTTGCCCCTTTTAGACTTGCACTCTATTCATTTACTAACTAACACTAAACTAATAGCTTCTCTATTCTTTTTGTATTCTATCTATCTGTTTTCTTTTTATTTATTATACAATTATCAAAAGCTAAAAAAAAGGCCTCTAACACTAGCTTGCTCTATTCTTTTTCTATTCTATCTGTTTTCTTTTTATTTCTTATATAATAAAAAAAAAAACTTGCTATGTGTACTACGTTAAGCTAACTGAGGCTTGTCATAGCACTTGCGTATCATTGCTCTTTTGTTGATTTTGATTGCTTCTATTGTCCTCATTTGTAAGTGGCTTTGGATAAAAACGTCTGCTAAATGACTAAATGTAAATGTAAATAAATACTGTACAATACAACAAAGACACAAACAGAATAAACAATGCTTTATGTTCAAGCGAACTAACAAGTTCTGGACAATGTTTGGCTCCAGTGGATCACTAACTTCAGTTTTGAGAGCTCCCGCCGCTCTGGATTGGGTTTTGTGTACAAACAGCCGCCTGTCAGACACGGCTTAATGAACTTTGAATATCTTTTTATTATCAAGCGCGTCCTGCAGTTTAGCAATGGTAGACGGCATTTTATGACAATCAGGTTAACTGCTGTATGAACACCTTATAAAAATTCAAACGGTTTAAAATTTTGTACCAATTTTTTATTTTTATTTTTATCAGTATACCGCCCATTTTTTCAGTGTATTATTTATTATTGCCATTCCTTTTCTCTCTAAGGATTTAAAAATTGTTCAATAACGGGTTAAAATCACACTGACATTATCATTGCTTAATAACTATATATCAGGCATATATTATCACTTAAAACAATAGCCTATTTTGAATTTTGTTTAGTTGTGGGAAAAAAAAGTATTTGCCAATGAGCCAGAGATGTTGTCATCAATTTTATGCCTTAAACCTAACAGACTAAAAATGAAGTAAAATCCACAAAACTTTGATTTCATGGGGTCTTTAGCACACTCTTGAAGCAAAAGGAACTTGAATCAGGCCTTTAATTCACAGCTCAAGCTTCTGTGTCTTGAGAAATGACCAAGCTGGCATTCTAGAGCACTCCACAGCAACCCCAGAAGGCAATATTCAGCGATGAGGCAGATGCTGTTTACCCATCCCTGTGACCTCAACCTCACTGTCTGCAGAAATTCCCAGAAGCCTACAGTCCACTGAGGAGAAGCCAGGCTTCTCTGGGTTTGGCACTCCAGTTAGTACACACAGCAGCACACTCTACATTAGTCCTGTTATGAGGGGGCAGGAGGACACGTGTCCACACATACCCCCTTATCCTTATCATCATCATCATCATCATCATCGTGGTCACGTCCATGCCGCTCAACCCTGCATGCGTCAGCCGCACTCACCAACCGCAACGTCTTCAGAAAATCACGCTCCCTTGGCTTACCAGCGGGAACGTGAGCACGAGAGAGAGACACAGACACAGAGACAGGAGGACACATGAGAGATGGACAGAAGAAGAACATGAGAAGGACAGGAGACAAGGAGGAAAAGAAACAGGGTGTCACCAAAACAAAGGGGGCACTCCTCTCTGATCTGTGCATTTCCCAAAAACAACTATGGTTGCAAGTTCCGTCGTCACCAATAGAGTTCAATGGAACTAACGACCATAGTTAGCTGACGATGCTTTTGGGAAACGCACCCCAGATCAGTGCATTCAGCAGCCAAGCTAAAGAGCTCACATCACGGAAATGAGCGGATATATCAGTGACAGCTCCTGGAGGAATCCTCAGTCAAATCAACCTCAGTCACTCAGAGCTGTAAGCTGTTACAAAAAAACATCATCATTTAGAAGTAATAGGCTATTTTCTGTCCTGTTTTTAACCACCTCATCAGAACGCTCTGTTTGAATAGGCGTGGAGGATTGTAGACTCAGAGGTAAATGCCCACTGCTGTGATTGGCTAATAGCTGTGTATGTTTGACACAGAGCCGTTTGACAGGCTATGTCCTTCACAGACAGACGCTTCTGTTATTTAGGTTAAACCCGCATAAATACTCATATCAAACGATCTGTTTAACAGACAAAGCAATAGTGATCACATTATAAAAACACTTGTGTGTTGTGACATTACTGTCAGATCCAATATAGTCACACAGCATTGTCTTTTAGTTTCAATCTTTCTGAAAATACTGCGTCGAATTGTGCCTTGTTTGTAAACGAATTCACGGTAAAATGAAGTAAACAAAGGACTGAGTTCTTACTGACGTGGTCTGGAACTTAATTAAAAATAAAGTTCATCCACTCTTTCCTAATATTGGCATCAGAAGGAAGGCAATGCAAACAATGTTTTTCCACAGCTTAGCACTGCACAGTGTCTTGTTGTATTCGGAGCCATCTTTATCGTTTGGTTTCTGCATAGACCCGCACGTTCGCCTCTCTCGTAAACACTACATGCGCGAATCGGTGGGCGGGGCTAAACAGGCAGTGAT